GACTGGCCACGGCCACATCCAAGGGGTTCCCAAGGGGAAGACGGATGCGGGGACGGGGACACTACTCCCCCGCGCTTCCTACCTTTTATCTTCAGCGGGTTGTGGTAGTGAACTTCCAGGCGGAGAAATCTGGAGGACCCGGGGCCCCCGAACGCAAGGCCAGCTTCCTCCGGGTAGTAGAAGGCCTGCGGGAGCGGGCAGGAAGGGGGCCAGGTGTCCAGGTGCCACAGCCCAGGCAGGCGGACTGGGGTTACCCAAGAGGGGCCCCAGGCGGGGGTCAAGGCGAGCCCACCAAGCGCGGAGCCTGAGCTACAGCGGGTGACGTAGGCGGGGCAGCTGGATCAGAGTGATGCGCTCCTACTGACGCGCAGTCACTCCCAGCGGCACGACGCCCTTATTAGAGTCAGGGTCAGGGAATTGGGCGAGCTTGTGCCCCGAGGCCAGCCCACCGCCCACGCCCCTCCTCCGGGCTAGTAGAGGAAGCGATGGCAGACCCTGGACGCAGTCCGTGGAGGCCGCAAGAACCAGCCCTGCCACCAGCCAGCCCTGGGGCCCCCATGCAGAAACCTCTCCAAGTCTAGGGGGACACAGGATCTGCGCCCATGAGGACCACCAGCATGCGAGGCTTTCGCATTTTGACAGGGAAGTCCCAGAGGCTGGAGGGCGCATTCGTGGCTCAGAAGAGCCACAGGACTTCGACTGTGCACAGGCTGGGAAGGTGGGGAGCAGGCAGGGTGACCGGGGATCGGAGCACCCCAGTGGTGCAGGTCCAGGGAGGGCCTCATGGGCTCCCGCCAGTACCTCCCATAGGAGGCCCTCGAGCCGGGCGCCACCGGGCACGCACGCACCTTGGCGCCCAGGGCCCAGGCGGCCAGCACGTGTCTGCAGTAGTTGAGACGCTCGGGCTTCATCTTGGAGTCGCAGGGCCCGCTGAACTGGGGGAAGCTCTGAAACTCGGCAGCGCACTGGAAGACTTCCATGTGGTGCACCAGGGCCTCGTTGCCCTCGGTGACGATGGGCTCGTACTGTGGGGGGTGGGGTACTGAGTCGGGGCAGCAGACCCACATCCACCCATCCGCTCACCCTTCCTGGCCTGGCTCTGGCCCAGTGGCTCCCCTTCATGGGCCTCTGCTTGCCACTCTGTAGAATGGGAGGGTTAAGCCGGTGATTTCCAGGGGTGCTTCTGGGGCTCGGGGCTTTGAGGGTGGAACCACTACTGGTAAGAGGCAGAACCTTGATGAGCTCCAAGGCAAAGGGCATGGGGATCCAGGCCGGCCATTTCCCAAAATGTGGGGACAGGGAGGCAGCCGTCCTTGTGAGGAGGTGCAGTGGCTGGACAAGGACAGGGAGGCTGCCCAAGGCTAAGACTGCACCAGGGGGACAGGTGCAGTTGTGAGTCAGGCCCACCACTTCCTGCTGTGTGACTTTGGGAACTCACACAACCTCTCTGGGCTGCACTTCCTCTACTGGGAATAAGGGTGACAATACTCAGTACTGTGTTTGTACTATTGTGGTGATGGAGGAGGTAACCCCCCTCCCTTCTCCCAGGGCCGGGCAAACAGTGGACATTCAACAGCTACTGTCATTTCTGTTACACCTCCGGGTGGGGCCTGACAGACAGACAAACAGAGAGACAGCCATTCCAGTCCCAGGGGAAGATGCAAAAATCAAGACGTCAGTTGCCTTTGGTCCAGGCTGGGAAGGTGGGAGTGCGCAGGGTGACCGGGGACCAGAGCACACTGGTGGCTGCAGGAAGTTCAGACCTTGCCTGGGGTTCAGGCAGTAGGGGTCACCTGGTCCAAGCAGGACCACGGACAGCTCTCCAGGCCAGACCGCCTCTCTGCAGGCCTCTGAGGCCCCAGGCGGGAGCAGAGCTGGGAAGGGGGCCTGGGCCTGGAGGCCGCCTCTCCCCGCACCCCGGCCCTGCCCACGTACCATGACGATGTGGTGCCGGGAGAAGCCCTCCGGGAGCTCGGTGATGTGGCACCAGTACGTGGTCACCTGGCCCGGGATCAGGACATCCGGGGCGCGGATCTCCATGGTGCGCACGTCCGCGGGCAGGGCCGGGATGGAGATGTTGGGCTTCAGCAGCTGCACCCTCTGCAGCCCCGTCTGCAGGCCTGAGGTGTTGATGGTCTCCAGCGCCCGCAACGGCTCCTCCAGGATCCCATACACCAGGTGGACGGTGCCGTCCTGCAACGGACACAGGCCCGGCACTTGCCCACTCACATCCCCCAGAGTCGACTCCCGGTAGCTGGGGGGGCTGCCAGGTCCCTGCCCCCTCGCCCGACAGGCGCCATGCCTGGTTCTCATCTCTGTGAAGGAGGGGAGCTTTGAGGCTCAGGGTAGATCCGGTAGGGGCTAAATCCGGGGCCGGCCATCCCCAGAGCTCCTGGTTTCCATCAGACATTTATATATTTTGTCTTTCTAAATGTTTTCTACCTGCATTTGCTTGGCATCCATCCAGCTAACCATCACTGGACCCTTGGGAACCAGGCCGGCTGGACCACTGGGGATCAGGCCAACTGGATCACTGGGGACCAGGCCGGTTGGCCCACCTGGGACCAGCGCCAGTGGGGACAGGGCTGTTCTCTGCACAGGTGTCTTGGAGCTCCAGGCAGGAGGCTCCCGCACACCCAGCCTGGAGGCTCTGAGCTGTGCACAGGTGGGTACCAGACGCCCTGCTAAGTTCCAGGAGAGGGTCCTCTGCCTGCCCTTGCCTTGACCACGGGGAAGGTGATCTAGAGCATGAGGACGCAGATGACCTTCTGGAAGGACACCCCCTCTGGCTCCAAGTCTGCCCCACTGCGCCACGGATCTCTGGGCAGATCCTTCCCCTCCCTGGCCTCAGTTTCCTCGTCGGGCACACCACCAGCCCGTGCCACTGCCACACGGTAAGGGTTACACAGGACGATGGGTGTCAAAGTGCACTGAAAAAGTAAAAGGATTTTGTCTTCAAGAGAAAACTGTTTCCCTGAAGGGTCTCGGAGCCGCATGAGAAGCCTATGGGTTCTTAGATCGGCTGAGGCTACTCAGAGCAGGTGAAGACTGACAGAGCGCCTAGCTCCCTTCCTCCCTTTACAGACAGGTAAACCGAGGCCGGGAGGAGGAGGGGACCTGCCCTGAGCCTCACAGCCTGCTGGCCACAGGGCCAGGCTGGGAAACCAGGTCTCCTGGGCTCTTCCCAGAATTCCACTGAAGAGCATGGAGCAGGAGAGACCGTGTCAGGCGCAAGACCACTCAGTTCCCCGTCTGAGAGGCTTTGGGACGAGACCCACATCTAGAAACAGGTCGGTTCTGTGTCACCCAACAGCTGCTTCCTGTAGGATCAGAGGCCAGTGGTGGAGCTGGCTTCTTCCAAACTGCTTTGTCCCCTGCCCAGCTGCCCCCGGAGTCCCTTCTCTCTGTGCACGGCCGCCCCGAGGACGCGACCCCAGGATGTGAGAGAGATCCATGCAGCCCATAGTCTCTTGGGCGCGAACTGCCACCCACCTCAATGACGTAATCCTCGGGGTCACAGGTGCCAAAAGGCCTCTTGAAGAGCAGGGACAGGCCTTCTGGGGTCCTCTGTGCCCTCAGCAGCTGGTAGTCCTGCTGGGAATCCAGGTGGACCTGCCCCTTCTGGTCACTCCAGGCGTCCTGCAGAAACGAGTTCGGGTCCAGAGCTAGAACGCTGGAGCTCGGGGCTGGCCGCCCTGGGGGCCCCGGGGCTCTGCCCAGGGTGGGGCTCACGCCTGTGTTCAGTGTCTGCCTCAGACAGTGAAGTTGACTTCCAACCCCACACTCTTTCTCTGCGGCCTTGACACATGGCCTCAAATGCAGGTTGGGACTCACCGGAGCTGGGTAGCCACGCAGGTCCCCAGACCTCTGGGTGGGACCCAAGAAGCTGTGTTGCAAGGAAGATGCCATAATTCGGAATGTGATCTGCTTCTTTGGTGTGTGGAGGGAGGGGCCGTGACCGCGCATGGAGCCCCGGAAATGGGAGACGCGGGGCGGCGGGAGGGAGAGGCTGGGGACAGGGTTTCAGGGACCCCCACACGTGCTTGCCCCCGAGAGGGAGCCTGCCTGAAACACTGCGCCCTGGGCATCTTGCTCACCTCGCCCTGGTCCTAGTCTTGCTTGAAGAGAGTAAACTGAGGCTCGGGGGCAACAGAACTCCTGTGTTTCCCCAGAATGCTCGAGAGTGGCGGCTCTGGCCCGACCCCTGCCCTCCACTCTCCCCAGGGCTGCCCGCACACCCCGACTCTCAGGCTCAGCCACCCAGGGGCTCCAGGCCAGCGCAAGGGACAGACATCCACCTGGCAAGGGGCTGTGATCTCTCCCTGACAAGCAGGCCTTTGTTTGGTTTGGGAACAACACGGGACCACCAGTCCTTGGCCTGAAGATTTTTTTAAACCCTGCATTCAGGGCTAAAGCCTGTTTTCTCCACTTCCTTGAGGAAGAAGGAACTAGAGAGAGAGAGAGAGAGGAAGG